ATAAAAATAATATATATTTTTATAATGTAAATATATAAAATAAAACAAAATTAATAAAATATAAATATATAATTAATTGAGTTGATGTTTATTAAAAAAATGATTGGTTCAATTACCAACTAATGAACACCCCTACTAAGGGGATGCCATTAGCATTACCCATAATTAAATGAGAAAATTGCATCAAAATGGAACCAACTTTAACATGATTTTTATTTTGAAGAACCAACTTTTAAAATTGTTATTTAGGGGTCTCTATCAAACTTTTTGTTTATTTAAGAGTCTGGTTAATCTGTTGAGCATGTAACAGGTAATTTATTATGAGATGACAAATAATAATTTAAAAATATATTAGGTGGATATTAATTTGTCAAATCATGATTATTATTAAAAGAAAAATTAACAAATCAAAATATGTGTAAGTGAAAAGTCTCCCTATCTCTTCCCGTCTATCTCCTCCCAACTATTTCCTCCGGTTGCCTCCCGACTGTCTCCTCCAAGACGTCGACATCAACCATTGTTGCCCTAGCCAACGTTGCTCTAGTCTATCGTCTCATCTATCTCCTCTGACTGCCTCTCTAGTCGACGCCGGCACCAGCCATCGTTGCCCAAGACGTCGCCGTTCACATCTTCCTTCCGGCTGCCTCTTTGGTCAACGCCTTCCCCGGCGGCGTTCACAAGGTATAATGTCCTGAATCTGACTACACTGATGAAATACTTTGTTTACAATGGTTTAATTGATGTTGAGTTCCTTAAGATGATGTTAAACAATGTCTTTTAGTCTTCTTTTAGAACTTACATTGATTTGACTTGATAAACAGGGTCGTCCCAATCTTTTTGGAGGCCCTATTATACTATATGTATATATATATATATATATATATGTTAGTCCCGAAGGGGAAGACAATAAACAGAAAGTAATTGTAGAAGGGGGGGTTGAATACAATTACACAGACTTTTTTCAACTTTTTAATTCTTATTGATTTATATCAAGAATTAATACACACAGAAATACAAAAGATTGTTGYGGAAGATAGGAAAGGAAAACCTAACCTAAACAATCTTACAAGGAGAAGAACTTTCAAGAACAACACAGAGAGTTCTTGAAAGGAAATGAAGAACACTAAGAATTTTATCGCACACAGGATAGCAAGGGAGAAGAAGAGAATAGCCGATTGCTTTGAGAATGCACTAAGTAATCTTTCAAAAAGCCAGTTGTATGCATGGGAGATACACACTATCTTTTTATACTACCTTCAGCATTTAATGCTTGGGGACATTTTTCACTTGAGGATAAGAAGGCAGATGATGACTTGACCAATGTTGATATCTTATTTTCATCGTACACAGCGTGCATACAACACAGTTCATGCAGAGACAAACTTTGCAGAGATATGGTCAGTCTGTAGGAAGATCTCCTTTGGATGGATWTGTAGCTTCAAGCARCTACTCACAAATCTTCGGTCCATGAAGATTTTCAATCTTCGGTCCATGATCTTCAATCTCGAGTCCATGAAGATTTTCAATCTTCGGTCTATGAA